CATCACCTCCAGCAACACAGTCTCATCAGTGTTTTGCAACACCCTCAGACTCATCCTAACCTTTGATGAGCCCATTCAGCTCAGTAACCCAACAAAAAGCTAACCCAGCAAGAGAATGGGTTCTGTCAGTTTTCTGAGCAGAGTTGATTTACCAATCAGGCAAGCACTGAACCAGCAAAAGAGGAATTATAGTAGCATGCAGCCAGGAGCAGGACAGCCGTTTTCAACAGCAAAGAGTTGGCGAAGCCCATCGTGCAGAACTTCATGTGTAAAGCTCCAAAACAAAGAACCAATTCAGGAAAAACAGTCACTATAGCATGTGCATTTCCTTCTTTTCTTAAGGAGAAAGCCTGCCTTCAGAGTATAAACCACTGCATTCAGAGAGACCTGTACCATGTAACCTAACAGCTGTAAGAGGGAACCTTGACTTGAAATCTAGATCATAGTAAGGAGTGGCTGAGAAGTTTTATGTTTCTTCAGAGACCAAAGAAAGATATGTTCAAATCTACACAATATCAGAAAAACTATGTCCTACATGAACTTCACTTAGATGTGATTTTGGTGCTGAATTCTTCCTCCATTTGAGGAAAAAAAGCCTCAAGGCATCTGCAGTTTAAATAATCATCTTCAAAAGGTACATGAATCACCTTTCTTTTCAAATGATGTAATTAAATGTTTTCCAATAATGACAAACCTGCAAAAAACATCAAACACCTAATGGCAAAATACCATCAATGAACTGCTCTAGGAAAGGGAAAAGGAAAGTTAATTGTTTCAAGACTACACAAAACACAAAATTAATCTTGAGAGCAAGAGCTATCAATTTTTAAAATATTCTATATAAATTTAATCATTTTGACTTTGCTTTGCAATGGAAATGCATACATACATACATTACATATGAGGTGGCACTGTGTTTCCTTTACTGCCCTCTAATCTGCTCAAATTAAATGTTTATTTCTGTAAACACAAGAAAATTATAAAAGAAAAAGTATTTATGGCTTCTACATTTAAGCTTCTTTTACATAAAACACTGAAGATGTGACTTGAGCAAATCTGGATGGGCTGTTTCCTGTCTTTTTATTCCTTGAGGGGGAAGACATAAAAGTTGACACCATTATGAAGTTTTTGGAAGAACTACTAATATTGGGGGAAAAAACACCCAAAACCAAAAAAAAGGATGCTTTCCCTTCCCATTCCCTGTTATTCTAATATTGAAGAATAAAACAATAATTCTGATTAAAAAAAATAATCTTCTGTCACTGTAAGAAAATACATTAGAAAGGCTGCAGGCATTTCAAAGGGCAGAGACCGTTACTGTAATTGACATCCACACATCTGATAATTTCTTAACCTATTCATCATTGAGACATGTTAGAAGTTCACTGTCTTTTTGCTGAGAAACAAAACACCCCTCCTGGAAAAGTGCTGCTAAGACTTCATAGGGGCACCTGCATTTTTAATTCTCAGTTTACCTAACTGACTTCTCCCAACTCCTTTACAATCAGTACAGTACCAGCGCAGCTTTACAAAGCAAACCTCCTCAAAAAGCCAACTCTACAGTCATTTACTCCTGAAGCACTACAGACAATACATGAATTATATGCTCAAACTTCAGTTTGTTCTGACCTATCTGAAATCTAGTCTACAGAAATAAGTGACATCTATGCAACGCACATAAATCTCGTCAAGTACAGATATGAACAGAAAGAAGGACAAAAATTTCAAAGCTGACAATAGGATTTCTGCAAACTTCACAAACATATTTCAAGAACAGAGCTGACTGTAAGATCAGTTTAAAAAAAGATATTCTGTGCATAAGGTTACATATATCACAGCAAAAAAAAAACACAAGTGAGAAAAGATGACAGCATGTAGTTACCCTAATAACTAAGGGAGAGCATCAAAAAATGAAGGGAGACAGAAAGAGAAGTATCATTCTATGATACATATCATTTGAAGATGAAGCCAAGAAATTAAACAGGCTTCAAGAGTTACTGAACAGATCCAAGAGAAAGTTGAACACTTAGAGCAGAATAAAGGACTTTTTATGCTGCATTCTAGCTGGAGTATATCCTAGACAAGTCAGAAAGCGGGAAGCAGCTTAATGTGACATTTTCATTTAAAGAAGATAAAAAGATGGGAAAAACACAAAAATTGTCTAAAGTATAAATGGATTTGCCCATCTGAAAGATCTGACAGTTTGTCGCATCTAAGTCTCTGTAATCTCTCCACTCTTGTAAGCCATTCAAGACAGCCACCAAGCCTCAAACACTGCACAGGCACACGTTCCGCTCTTTTGTTCAGCAAGGGGTAATTACACAAGACTGTGGCTGGATGTTAGGCATATTAGGCCCACTGGCAGAGTAACTAAAACCCACAATGTAGGTTCACAGCATTGCCAGGCACAACAAAACATTTGCTTTTTCACAAATATTTGCCAGAAGCAATAAAATGCATATTTGATAATACTACTGTATTGGTAAGAGCAAACCAAAATACGGTCATTTGAAGACAGAGTACAAGAAGGAAACACGGGGGGAAAAAGTTCAAATAAAATTTAAAGGGACCACGTACAGACTTTGTACTGCCTCCACTGTACTGTTCAGGCACTCTCTTAACTATACACAGGAAGGCAGCAAAGAGTTGGTAATCCACTAATACGTGCTAGGTATCATGCTAGCAGCTTCACAGCCTGAACTAAGTCCGGGTTTATATATTTCTTAACACAGAAGAAACATCATTCCCATTCCACAGGCGAGGGGAAAAAAGAATTTAAAAAATCAAATCAAAAAAACATGAAACCAAGAAGTTCACCAAAAAGTTCAAGATTTGAGAGTGCATATTTTCATTCACAACCTCTGTAACAGTCTTTAGACACTCTCAAAACAAGGAGAAAGGCAGTCCCAGAGCAGACCACAGCTGGCAGAGGGCATCGGGTCTCCCACAAACCTGTCCCTTAGTCACGGGACTGGGTGAGCGTGCAACTAAATCCCAGAGCAGCATGGCTGTTGCCAGTTCCTGCTGGCTTGCTAATTTTCCACTTTTAGGGTTTCAGACTATCAAAGCAGTTCAGTGCTAATACAGTTTTTCTACCCCTTACATGACAGAGCTCAATCACAGGTACCACTGTGGAACTTTCTGCAGATCAGGATTCAGGAAAGCTTTGAATCAGGCAATACTTTCCCTCCTCATAACAATTCCAGAAACTAGTTCACCCATACTCCAGAAATACTGACGCACAAGGCTGGCATTTAAGTTCAGCCTGCATGGAACTGCAGCAATTGCCAGGACAGACTGAAAGAGTAACTACACGAATACAGAAAAATACTTGGAAGAGAGAGAACCTGTAACCTCACAAATACCTTCAGGTGATGTCTGCACCTTTAATGCAGGTAGTGACTGAGTTTTGAAAAACTTGTATTAAGCTGCTGTAACCTAAAAGAGCTGCTGTGCACTTCACTCCAAACAACAGCACTGGTAAGAGTTTTCTTTGGAAAAGGAACACAAATCCAGCCCTGCCACACCAAGAGCCACAAAGAGCCACAGAAGAGCCAAGACCGCGAATGTACCTTGATGGCAACAACACATCTGTAGCTGATGCCGGCACTGAGAAAAAACCCTATGAAACTCCACATTCGAAGTTCTGACCATGCTCAGCATCTTTTAACTGGCAGTAATCTAGACAAAAATATTAACGAGGAGTTGTTTTCAAGGTACGACAATTCTGCTTTGGCCAGTTTTTATGGCTTACAAACCCCCTTTTCGCAGTTTCTGTTATACTGCGGTTCGAGCCGGGGCGGGGGGGGAACCCGTGTACAAAGAACAAATCAACCCCGGCGTGCGAGTCAACAGCTGGAACGCTGAGAGCCTGCCTTTCATCCTAAAAAACGTGGCGAGAAAACACCCGTGCGCAACAACCACTGTTAAGTAACACCTAGATACGCAACCTACTTTCAGCCGGCGCTTGCCTTTTGCCACTGAGGAGAAAAAATAAATTAAAAAAAAAAAAACACAAACAAACAAAAAAAAAAACCCACCCACAAATAAAGGCACAAAACGAGCAGACCCCCTCCCCACCCCCAGCGGCAGGGGCAGGCCGGGGCGGCGCTGCCGGCCCTGCCCGGCAGGGGGCGCGGCGCGGGCGGCCGGCGCTGTTGTTGTGGCCGCTCGGGGTATTTAAACGCCGCGCTGTCAATCACGGCCCGCCGCGCTCGGCCCGGCGCTCCCCGCACGGCGGGGGCGGCACCGCGCGGCCCCCGCAAGCCCCGGCCCGGCCGAACCGCCGCCGCCGCCGCGGGCCCGCAACTTGCTCCTTTGTTTAACTGCCCGTGGATCCCCACCGCCGCTTCCTCCTCCTCCTCCTCCTCCTGCCGGGCCTTTTATTATTCGCACGCTCGGGTCGCAAAACACACACACGCGGCGGCGGCGGCCGCTCGGGACCGGGCTGGAAACGTCAAAGCGCAGAGAGGCGCGGGGCGACCCTTCTCTTCCTCCGCTCCCCCTGCCCCGCAAACAAAACGCACGGGCAGCCCGGAGCTCGCACCCGGCCGGAGGCAGCCCCGGCGCCCGCACTTCTCCGCCAGGAGACCGCCGTGTCCCGGGAGAGACCCCCCGGGAGCGCGGGGGGACACGCGGCGCCTCCGCACAGCCCTCACAACTTCGGGGTGGCCCCGGCCCCGCATCTGTTGCTCTTTCATAACCGGCCCCCCCGCCCGGCCCGGCCCGGCCCGGCCCGTCCGCCCGCTCGCAGCCGCGGACCCATGTGCCCGGGGACGGCCGCCCCCGCCGGCACCGGCGCTGTCCCCGCCGCGAGGGGAGCGGGACCGGCCGGGCGCCCGCGGGTCCCCCCGTGCTGCCGCCGCGCAGCCATTGTCCCCCCGCCGGGAGGGAGCGGGGGGAGCGACTGCCACCGCCTGTGCCCGGTGGCCGCCCGGCCGCCCGCCCCGGCCGCTGCCCCGCCGCGCCGCCCGACCCCGGCGCGGCTCCCGGCGCCGTACCTGCCGTGGAACCAGTCCTTGCAGATGTCGCACTCGATCATGAAGCGGCTCACGTCGTAGGGCTCGCGGCACACGCAGTACACGGGGGTCGCGGCGGCGGCCGCCGCTCCGGCCATCTTTAAAGAACTCTCTGACTGAGCCGCCCGCTCCTCCCCGTCCCGTCCCGTCCCCCCCGCCCCGCTCCCTCCGCCGCGGCCGCGGCGGCGCCGCCAATAACAACAGCGCGCGTGCCGGCCCCGCACGCCGCGCGCGCCCCCCGCCGCCGGCAGGCACGCGCACGGGCGGGCGGCGCGGGAGCGAGCGGACAACAGCGCGCGGGGGCGCGCGCACGTGCGTCACCCGGCCCCCGCGGAGGCGGGAGGAGGAGGAGGATGGGGACGGAAGGGGGGGGTGGAGGAGGGAACTGCCCCGCCCTCCTCGCCCGCCCCGCACGGCGCCTGGCCCCGCCGCGCCTGCGCCCCACCGAACGGAGCGCCCCACTCCGCCCCGCCCCACCCGGCCCGGCCCGCGGGCGGCGGGCACTGAGCGTGCGCGGGGGCAGCGCCATTTCCCCCCCGCCGGGCGCGAGGGGAGGGGCGCGCACGTGCCGTCCCTCCCGGGGGGCGGGGCGCGGGGAGGCACGCGCTGGGCCCCCCCCGCCGGTGTCACGCGGGGAAGGGGCGGGGCGGGGTGCCGCGAGGACACGGGCGGGGCGGGGGCGGGGCTCGGCGCGCGCCGCTCTCCCCCCGTTATGTAACGACAGCGCCTGAGGGTCGGGGCGTCCTGCCCTGCCCATCCCTGTCCCCTCTCGTCCTGTCCCTTCTCCGCCCCTCCTGTCCCTGAGGAGCCGGAGCAGGTCGGTCGGAGCAGCTGCCGGGGCCGGGGGGGTCCTGCCGGCCTCGGCACTGGAGCCCACGCACTCCCTCGGTTCCGGCTGAATCCTCCTCATGGGGGTTCGGTACCTGAAGGGCCCCTCTGAGGGGCAGAGAAAACCAATGACGTGCCATTCGCTTACTGCAGTTTCTGAAAAGTGTTGTCCCCAACTCATCAGGCACAAACTGAATTCCACCCACGGAATGCTGGTGGACATGCACTAGTGCTTTCTCCCGGAGGGACCTCGGGGCAGAGGCACGTCTGATTTTAGGACAGGGCAGTGTTTCCACGCTGCTCACCTGCGGGTTCCACTCGCTTATTTCTTGTTCAAGCTCTCCGCATACGTTTGCATCACTATTCCATTTCATGCCGTCACCCCTTCTTTCAGGACACAAAAGTAACGCCGATGCTTTCATTATGTGTCACCCAGAACAAGAAAGTAGAGCTTAAAAATAGAGTTGTTTTTTTCCTGCAGACTTTGAAGGAACTATGGAGATTATGTTGTAGCAGAGAATTGGGATTCGTGTCTCCACACTGAACGTAGGAATTTAAAAGCAAAACAATAAATATGTTGAAGTGCATGTTACAGTGATCATAACTGTAATAGACTAACACTGCCTACAGCATTATAATTTTATATCCCATGGCCTTAACCAGTAGCCACAAAAAAAGCAAATGCTGTACATTTGTTTGGCAGGGGGAAGCTCAGAAGTAAATGTTTCCTTTCCAGGCTGTTATTGTGAAGCTTGCTAATGTTAACGTTTATATAAGACAGCAATATGAGATGATGATTTGGCAGCAAATTGGACAGCAAAGAAATGTAAAACAAATAAATCCAGCAGGCAGGCTCTGTGACTGAATGCAGGATGAAATAGAGATATAAAGGAAAGGATATCTTCAAGAAACACCAGATTCTCGGACCAAACCCTGACGTATTTAGAAAGTGCATGAGGCTCTGACCTGCAGGACATTGTGACTGGGTGTTTCAGTACTCTTTTCTATTTCAACACATCCCAGTATTAGAGCAACTGAAAATGTGGCCACACACACATCAGTTTTCTAAAGTGCTGATGTTAAGTTTAATAGGGGTAAGAAACGCCAGCAAGGTAACAAATGTCAATTTCAGGGTTTCAAGAAATAATATATACCAAGAGGTTTTCTCACTAGAAATATCGTTTCCTTTTATTAATCTGATTCAAAAGCACACCCAGGAAGTTGCTTTCTAATCATAGAGGCTGCAAGCTCTGGCATAATCAATTACAGGTAATGGAACAACTACCAAGAGGCAACTGTTCCAATTAAAGTTGTTATTCTGTGTTTGTGCAATAGTGTCAGTACATGTAGCCACACTGGCGTCTGAAAATGGAGGATTCCTTCCTTCCTCCTCAATTTGGTGTTTCTTAGGTTGTCACATGTCAAGTTTTATCTGGAAGTTGCAGTTACCAGCTGGAGCAATGACTTTGTCCAAACTGGCCATAAAAATGCACACGTGTTGTGTTTCAGGAGGTGTTTGCAAATGAGAGAGCCATTAATCACCTCAGTAAGGCACACGTTGGGCAGGTTGGGTATTCCCGTATGAAATGGGGTGAGGCTGCCGAACGTGAGCAACAAGGGAGGAGACCTGGCTTGACTCAGGGTGAGTCCAGCATGACAGGGTTGGGTGAGGAAGTTTTCACTTGACATAAAAGAAAGCTGCCCACCCACGAAAGGGCAAAGAATGAGACAGCAGTGGGTGCTTCCCTTCACAGGCCTAGATTACAGGAAAATTTGTTTGGTTGGTTGTTTGGTTGGGGTTTTTTTTGTTGTTTTGGTTTGGTTTTGGGGTTTTTGTTGGTTTGTTTGTTTTTTGTGTTGTTGGGGGTTTTTTGTTTGTTTTTGGGTGTTTTCTTTTTTTTTTTTTTTTTTTTTTTTTTTTTTTTTTTTTTTTTTTTTTTTTTTTTTTTTTTTTTTTTTTTTTTTTTTTTTTTTTTTTTTTTTTTTTTTTTTTTTTTTTTTTTTGTTGTTGTTGTTGTTGTTGTTTTGTTAAAAGAAAGAAGTTGTGATCTTAAGCATGCCAAGTAAAGCTTGCAGTGAGAAGTAAGCAGGCAGGAGTAAAGAAGCTTGTCTTAAGAGAGTGATTAGTGGAACACACCATCAGTGTCTGCCTGATGTACAGACACTGTCACGCTCCCCCTCGCCCCATGCTCTGGGTTGCACTCAGCCTACCATCCCCTCAGCAGCTGGAGTAAGCAAGTTGATCCTTCAAGCCATGCCTAGCCATAATCTTTCCATCCTAAACTCCACCACAACATGCCCTGCCCCATCCAGCACAACTTCTGACAAACAGAACTTCCAGCCTCTACACCCAGCAAGCCCCAGTGGATGCCTCCATCCCCATGCCTGGACTCTAGCAAACACCTTAGAAACGCATGGCTGGGGCTGGCAGGGCTGAGTGGCTCTGGCACTCAGAGACACAAAGAGCATCAGGTCTTCAGACACTAAAGTCAAGGTTATGGATTGAGATGCTGAGGATTAAAGAGCACCACCTCTTTCTTTCCTCCCCAGGGCAAGCCTGAGTGCTGGTACTCAGTAAAGCAGAATGCTTCTGCTTGTGTTTCAAGGAGTGCTGGCTGATAGCTTATGCTTAAGGATGGAATCAGGCTGTGGGATAAAAAGAGCTTAAAGTAGGGGATTATTCCTGAATAATGTGAGGATTGCAGAGAAATTATAAGGCCTACTATCCAGTTCTTGTCATTATGAGATAGGGCTGTAAAAGCATTTTAGGCAGTCACATCAAGTGGCTTCCCATGAGGTCTGTAGGCATGGTGGATGTGCTCAGCCTTAAGCTTAGGGTGCAAGATTGCCATGGGTAGGCAGTGGAAGGTAGGGAAGATGCCAGGAATAGGGAGTAAATCTTAGGACCAAAAAACTAGAATGATAGGAAGATGATACAGTTCCCTAGCACTATAATACATGCTTGTGCATATATGGGCCAGGTATGGCTCACTGCTGTATGGGTCAATATAGAATCAGGATCATTATGGGGTTTGGGTCCTGCTGCTAAGTACGGGTCACATTAGCCAAGGACATTGCTAGGGGTGAATGTAAGAATTCTTCTGTGGTAGAAGTTAGCAATCAGATAAACAGAGTGCACAGAATTCATTTCACCCTGCATGCTCTACAGAGCAAATCTATAGGCACATCTATGTGTCCAACACGTCTGTCCTTGAACAGGCAGCAGTCCCAAGCATTGAGGCCATGCTGCTGAGAACACAGCTGCGTTGGGCAGGGCACGTCTCCAGGATGCAGGACCATCGCCTCCCTAAGATCGTGCTATATGGAGAACTTGCCACTGGCTGCTGCAAGAGAGGAGGCCCAAAGAGGAGATACAAGGACTGCCTGAAACAATCCCTCAGCCTTGGCCATACTGATCACCATCATTGGTCTACCCTGGCCTCCAATCGGGAGGCCTGGAGACACACCACCTATAACGCTGCTGCTGTGTTTGAGAACACACGCAGGACCACTCTCGAGGAGAAAAGACAACGCAGAAAGAATCGTGTCTTGTCGATATCACCTGGGGAGTCTTTCTGCTGTACGTTCTGCAACCGGACTTGTCTATCTCGCATTGGCCTTTTTAGCCATCAGCGCGCTTGTAGCAAGCGTGGGTAGAGCCCCTCTCAAATCTTCTTTCGCGAAGCCTAGCCATGATGATGATAGGCACATCATTGTCACAGACAAACTTTGCTCTGCAACATCCTCCATCCACTACTCTGTTATTCTCTAGCCATTCACAGATCTTCAGCAAGGTCCAGGGTGGGCTGAGGGCTGCTATCAGCAGGGGAAAATGGTTTATTGCTGGCTCCAGGATGCTGGGCTATGATTACAGGGGAGGGTCTTAGCAGGAAATCCATTCTTATCAAGGACATGACTACTAGCACACTGCATATCAGCAAAGAGGATATGGGAAAAGAGAGCACTCACCATTGCAAAATAAAAGCATCCAAAGCCCATACTTAGCCTTGCGTTTCTCCCAAAGCACATGCCATATGCTGTGCATGGCATAAAGGGAGGATAAAGAAGGGGGAGCAAGGCAGGGAGGTTGCCAGAAGGGAGAAAGGGACATTTTCTGGGTCTTTTGTCTGAACCACATAGAGATACCCACAAATATGCCTACTTGCCTCTTGGGAGGAGGGGAGTACTCACAGTCATCAGTCTGAGGATGGTGGCTCTCACCCAGCAGGGCAAGGCTGGTTATATAAGCACCAGAGATGATACTCAGCAGACAGAGAGATGGCCCAGCAGCAACTGAGGCTAGGGAGAATCACAAAAACAAACCAGATGTTAATAGCCATTTCCAGAACAACATGAAAAAAGTCAGATAAACTATTGGGGAAACATGGGGGTAGAGGTACTTTTCCCATGTTTGGCCATTTCTTTTGTGTATTTTTGCAGAATCTGACAAAGCACTCATTTTTAAAATCACTTATTTATTTTCACACCAAAAGGCTTAAGGCTATTGAAAAGCAAATCTCTGGACTGAAAAAGTTTTCCAGTTCTCTGTGTGAAACTGTCTGAAGCATACCCAGAATTGGCAGTACGATCTTTGCATCTGCAGAGAAAATACTGAGTCATGTTGTCAGCCCACACACATCTAACAAAAATAAAAGCAGACCAACGATTCAAGATTCACCCACTCGTCATTTAAAGAAAACACAAGTCATTCAGTCATGCCTCGTGCTTCAGAGACCTTTAGAAAATACCCAGTGCAGGGAACATTCGCCCACGTCGTGCCCACGCACCATTTCAAACCAGAGATGTCATTTGTAACTTGTTCACTTGCAGGTCAGGGCAGTGTTTGCTTCAGCATCCTTAGAGGAAGTCGTCGAGACTTAAAGGTTTCTGCTGAAAACATGACACGGTAGCTGCTGCCTCAGCCCTTCTGTTAGCAAGGCTGAAATGATGTAACAGTTGCCCGGTTTGAATCCCTGGAGGAGGTAGGAAGCTGTGTGCTTCATGGTAAGGCAAACTTAAGCCACAGTTTGTGTAAGATGCTACTGTGCTCTTCTTTCAGAGATTAATCCTGTACTGAAGCATTGGCTGTCCTGGTGCTGAGCTCCCAAATTGCTCAATAGACAGGGAGGTATTTGCACAAACATCAAGATTTGGGGAATTACCTAGGAAAACCCCCTCTTTTTGCCCCTTCCCACATTGTCTCCTAGCAAGGAAAAGCTGTTTTCCACATTTCACAAGGCTGCTGGCAATCTCGCTTCCTCCTTCAGTTCTAAAAGCTGCTTGAAGTATTAACAGCTGAACCTGGATGTGCGGCAGCCAGCCCAGCTCATGACGGAGGGGGAGACGTCACCACACGGAGGGCGCACGGATGGAGTTACACAATCTGCGTGGTGCTGAAAGCAGTGCTGGAAACTTGTCAGGACCCCAAAGGCCAGAGCTAATTTGTATTTCCTATTGCACAGCATGATTTTAATCAGAGCGAAAAGCGCCCAGTTGTGGGTTTTGTGCAGGGTCTTATGAGCAGGGACAAGTTAACAGAGTAACTGTGGGCAGGACATGCTCCTGAGGACAGTGAAGAGATGAACACTAGAAGGGGAAAGGAATAGCAGACAAGACTTTTACACCAAATTTATCAGCATTTCCAATGCTGTGATAGCCTAATACTCTTTATAAGAAGAAAGAAAGAAAGGAAAAAAAAAAAAAAAGACACCTGCGAAAAGCTTGAGAAAAGCTTATTTGAAAAACCTCTTCCCAAAGGTTCAGGATATGTCACCAAATAAAACACGGCATTCAGAAAACCCATCTCACTTACAGCCAGTATTTGACAGCAGTCAAGTCTAGGTGATCTCTGACATAAGCTGCTCTTCAGCTGCAGACAGGTGTGTGTGAGTTGCTCTTTACAATTAATTTTCTGCCTCATTGAGGGCAGCCAGCACAAAGGACTGGCACAACCCCCAAGCACCTCTGTTCCCAACACAGGCTTCTCTCCAGCACCCCTTTCCACGCAGTGATGGATGGAGAGTGGGAGTTGGGAGCCATTTGGTCACCTTGCCCCACCTGGGCTCACAGCTGTGCCCCTTCCCAGCACACAGCACTGGGGTGCACCCTTGTGAGCCACTAGCATGGGCCAGAGAGGGAATGGGTCAGCAGGTTACTAGGTGAGTAAATACACTGTGACATTACTTGATTGGTTTGGCTTGTAGTCCTGGTAGGTTTGCTGGAAACTCAGAGGTGGGTTTGCTGCCTGGGGAGTGCTGTCGTTGCAGAAAATCCTTCATTTCAGCCTTCCTCTCTTTTCTGCTGGGAATAAATGCTCCTTTCCCCCTTGGTTCAGTTTTATTCCTTGACAGCTGAGAAAAAGAAGGAAAGAAAAAAAAAATCAAACCTGGGATCTTTATTTTGCTCTGCAGAGTGAGATGAACTGCATGTCAGGGATATAAAAGGGAGCCTGTCAGATGAGCTCATCTGTAGCTTCCTATATTCAGTCCAATAAACCCTATTCCCGGAGCATTTTCCCCACCAGCTAGCCCTTTTCTATTGTTGCCCCTGAAAGCAGCACCCTCTCTGCTCTCATTTCTCCTCCACATGCTCCTTTACCTCCCTCCCCCACACACATTTGTCCCCCCAACTCAAACAGCTCCCCAAGGAGCTCAGGCACCACCGATGTTCGGGGATGGGCAAAAGGGAAGATAGAGTCAGCTGAATATGCAAACAATCCTATTTGCACCCCAGCATGTACAATCCAGGTCTTTGTCAGCATGATGGAGTGCGCTCCATCCAGTTTGTTTTCCTTCTCTGCTATTATCATCCACACCCTTCCCAGAAGAGCATTATCAAATGCTGTACCTGAACCAGCCTTTTCAAGATAGAAGCTGACTGCTGCCTGGTTAATACCTGTCCACCAGCTGCCTATTTGCTTTGTTTAAAAATTATAGCCAACCATAAAATGTAGTGTAAAATCTACAACTGCCATTAAAAAAAAAAAAAAAAAAAAAAAAGAAAGGCATCAGAACCTTTTTCCTGGTGTCACTAAGGCAATGGGTGAAAGCTTTTTCAGTGGTACGAGCAGTGAGCAGCAGCCCCGCTTGGACTCAGCCCGTTGTGACTGGAGTGCAATGCTCTTGCACCCGGGGGGGTGTGTTTGAGAAGCTGCCTGATGCCTGCCTGCCTTCCCAGCGCAGCTTCACACCGCAGGAACACTCATGGTGTGCAGGTACCAGACAGTCCCTCGCACCACCCTGGACAGACTGACACCCCGGGTGGGAATGACATCGGGGCTAAGGTGCAAAGTGCTTTTTGCGGCTGGGGGAGGCGGTGGCAGCCACCGGAGCAGCACCGGCAGGGCCCCAGGCCTGGCAGACAATAGCTGTCTCCCTGCTCTCTCTCCCTGCCGGCCGCATCCGACGGAGGAGTCTCATGAATCAAGTCAAACACCCAGCGACAGGCTGGAGAAATCCATTAATATGCGGCCGCCGCCGCACGTCGCCAGCCCCCTGCCTAGCGCGCCGCTCACCTGCCTGTCTCACCCCTGGCAGCAGAGCGGGAACAAAGGAGCAGGGAAGGACGGACGGCAGCGACTGCCCCCGAACGGAGGGAGGCATCGGCTGGAGACAAAGCCCATTTGCCTGCCGCCATGGGTGTGAGGAATGCTCCCGCTCGCCCTATTGTCTGGGGTCCTTTGTGCTCCTCCACCCTCCCAGTCCCCAACCGCATAGGCAGAAATAGTGGGAGCAGGACAGACACGGCTTTGTTGAAGGGAGCCCTCGTATGTGAGAAGTGGCCCTGCCGTACGTGCCCGTCTGGCCCACGGGCCCGCGCTCCTCCTGCCCCAGAGGGCAGGTAGGGAGCAGGGGCCTGCAGAGGGGGGCAGATAGAGCGACAGGGGCACGGGTGTTTCTCCACGCCCGGGGGAACCCAGCAGCCCCTTCCTGAGCATCTCTTGCTCCCTCCAGACACTGATCCTTTGGGAGGTGGGGAACGGTCACCGGGTCCTGCTCAGAGGTTGTGAGGGCTGCCCTAACCCCCAACTCTGATCAAAGGCTGGTGAGCCTGGCTAAGCTGCATGAGGGAGCGGATCTGGCAGCATGGATTTTGGGATGCACTGAGCACCCATCCCGCCACCCGTATCCCTCCCAGCCTTAGGAGCAGCCCAGACACCTCTGGCAAACCTCCACTGCTTTGTCAAGCGGTAGCTGTGGCACCCCCCTGCGAGCCACATCCGCGGCTGCAACATTGCAGCCCCTCAAGTCCTGCGAGGCTGGTGGTAGGACCCAGATTGCCTTGTCTCAGGGCAGAGCTGTAATTGCTAAGCCCTCCCAAGGGGTCAGTCCCCAGCTGCAGCACACTGCTGAGCTCCCCTCCCACTATCTCTCCACACTGGCGTTGGAATGACCAGGACAGAGAGAAGAAGGGGAAACCAGGTCCCTCCAGTGCAGGGAGCAGGGTGACCCCATGATTCCCATACCCCTGCCCAAAGGACTGCAGCACTGCCTGGTACCACAGCAGCTGTAGCTGGACCATCTCCAGCAAGAGACCCAAAGAGAGGTACTGCTCACCTGGACTCAGCACACTGGCTCATGCTATCTCTCAGTTCTCTGCCAGCACTGCTCACACATCCTATCTTAGGAACAGGAACACACACGGGAACACCTGCAAGGTGGGTCTCATTTGAACAATATGGCAAACGGGGCATAAGCAAAGAAAGAAAGATAAGATCCAAACCCCAGGGAAAAGCATGTTCCTGATGAATGACACCTAGGACTACAAAGGAGCCCCCATATGCCTGCTCCACTGCCGGGACAGCAGTGCTGGGAGCTCTGGCACAGAGAAGAGAGTCCAGGAAAAAGTACAAGCAGACTTACTGTATGGATGCTGAGGATGCCTGAGGATGTCAATAAGGGACAGGGATGGTGAGGAGGCAACATACTAGTAAAGAGTCAATTTCTCCATTTTGTGCTAGGAAAACAAGTGCTGCTACTAAGGAGTTCTGTTAAAGAAGAAGAGACTACCCAAAGTTCAGTTTTTCTTCCTATTTTTTCATTGTATTTGTTACATTTTAAATAAACTCTAAGCAGTTTTTGCGAAAAAGCTTCTATGGCCACCAACAAGGAGGTCTCCAGACAAGTTTTTTTCAGGAATACATTTTTTTTAAAGAAAACTGTAAAATGCCTATTTAAAAAAAAAAAAAAAAAAAAGTAGAAACCATGAATCTAAACAGCATCACTTCCTTCTTTGAGTTTTTCTGCTTCAGAGTGAAGCCTCATCAGCTCTTGTAAAGTATATTGGTGCTTCATAAGCAGGAATCATACTGAGCTCTGTGGACAAGAGATTCTCAGTAACATACAAGTTGCAGAAGCAAGGTGGTCTTTCCCAAAGCCCTTGAAAGAGCAGATCAGCAAAAAGCCAGATATAAATAAAAGGCCTTCATCTTGCAAACAGCCAAAGAAAGGGGAAAGACCAGAGTTGGGCAGCAGGTCAACAGCAGAGCTCCTGGCCTTCCTGCGTGTGTCTTCCATGACATCTCCCTGCTTCACCCAGCAAATGGGGACACGGCACCTCTGCTCCCCCAGGCCAGCACCAAGCTGATGTTCCTGCAGAGTGGAATTTCAGCAACTAGAGAACTGGCTGCATCAGGCCAGAGCTGAACTATTACAAGAGCTGTTTTGGCATCCAAGCTTGGAGGGACTGCCTGAGTTAATGAGGCTGGGGTGTAATGAGGGAATGGGATGGGGTGTAACAAGGTGCTTCTTACTGAAAAGCAGGGAACTTCCCCCAGGCTGCCTTCCGCTGCTGCAGAGCACTTGGGTTAGTTTGTAACTTATTAACACCAACATTGGCTTGATCAAAGTTCAGAACGTGCTTAGTTGCTCTTCTGGAACAGTGGACTTGAAAAGCATATTGCGAGGTTTCCTAGGAATAAAAGAGACATCGAGAGAAGGCATTCCCTGCCCCATCTGCTCAGAGACATCCACTGCACCACTTTGGGTCATGAGACAGGGTTAATTCACCACCTGGTGCCTGAGGAGACAGCTCTGCTCAGCTACTGTGCCCATCTCCATCAGGCTCCCTCCTCCTCTTACAGCAAAACAGCTTTGCATCCCAGTGGTGCCTGAAAGGGTCCCCAGGCTTAGAAGGAAATTCCCTATCAAGAAGGCAGAATTGCACTGCATGTTTTAAGTGTCTCCCCTTCAGCTGGAACTTTACTTAATCTAAATTACATCTCTAGTGCCCCAATTTAAAGGGTTCAATCGACGATGTCACTTGGAAAATTAATCGCTTTGCCGCTGGACAAGTGGGAATGGGGAACAGAGTCAGCGCTGCACCACAGCATCAGATGAGAGCAGCAGGGCTATTTCTCCCAGGAGCAGGAGTTATATGCAGGGGGACTGCTGCAGCTCCCACAGCCAGTCTCTTGTCAGGCCATTAAGCCCACATAAGCAAAGCCAGGTCACCTCCAAGAGAAACCAGGAGTTCCCAGGAATGATTTTCTATCCACTGTTTGCTGTGCTGACTGCTGCTCCTGAGGGGCCTTTCCTTTGGAGGCAGAGAAGGGAAGAGCAACCCTGGCAGATACGGAGCACAGAAAACCTGCCCCACTGTTGCTGATCAAACCTAGGAGCAAAGTGCTGACAGATGAAGCTGTGAATGCAGTCTTTCAAAGATATCACTGGGCAGGATGGCATCAGAAACAAAATCAAAGAAAAGGAGTCACTGAGCAGGTGGCATGCTTTAAATTCTAGCTGGCCTGGGATCACCACCGCTTACCCTGGCATACGCTTATTGCAGTGATCAAGTTACTTTGTGAGAAGAGGTTACACAGCAACTACAGCTGCCTCCCCCCTAGCAGAGGAGTCAAACATATTCTGCTACCCTCAGCTTCCCTGCAGGCTCACAAGCAGAAGAGCCAAACAGGTTTCATTCGCTATGCAGCTACTGCCCCAACCAGTGTGGGTAACAGCCTTGGACCTGGCAGCCAAGAGACAAACCTACACTGACTTACAGGACAACGCACAGGTGTGCTTGCTTTCTTATCCAAACTGCAGGTGTCCAGAGAGCATACAGTTCTGTTGTTTCAAGTGGTTTTATTTACATACTTTATAATGAACAGTATCTGTGGATTATTGCTTGTAAGTACCTGTGTCCCATGAAGGTCAGAGTTAAGAACATCCAAGTAAAGTTCCTGGAAGCATTCTTCATTTTTGAACACTTTGTTGGAGAGATCAGTGATTTATCAATCACTTCTGGCACCTGTTAAGAACATGCTGCTATTGCTTAGACTGACCCACAAAGGATCACTATTTCAGCCCTATTAGATGTGAGATGTTCATTGCTATTCAGATGGTACCGGTGTCTATTGCCAAACCTGCACAGGCACATCACCCACCACCTCCTAATCAAAGGCACAGTCTGGGAGGAATGAACTGCTATTAAAAGGCATCACTAAACATTCACCACTACTTATTGTCTGGTGGGAGAAAGCATCACTTCTCCCTCATGTTTGCAGAAGAATATACAATTAGAGAAAGGACTAAAGTTCCACTTCTGCAGCCACTTACCAGAAGAAATGGTGCATTTTGGCCATCAGGATCATTTTTTCCCCCTGCTTGTCAGTGATTGAGGAGAAGGGAAGAGAAATCTTGACCACAAAGAGGAACCCAGTTTCTGGGACACAGGCAAAGAGGATGCTGTTAAACATTTCGGGAAACACTAAGGGAAAGATGGGGGCAGCCAGAAGTTTTGAAAGTTTTGATTTATCCAAGAAAGTGAACTGTCTGTACTAACTAGAGGAGAAATGGCTAGTGAATCCTCTCTCCTGGAGAAGTTTCTCCTACAGTATTCAATACTGTAAAGGGCTGCAGATGAGGGAACAGTCTTGACTGGATTAATTTACAAGGTAAAAGTGATTTTGTTTCCCCTGGGGGAGTTGAACTAGACTCATGCCCTTGCTTCTCTGGGGTTG